GATTTACCTGGAAATACAGGTCTAAATGTTTCTCTTGGGTTATATTTGACAAAGAGGTGGTGAGTTCAGTAAGCTGGTCATGGGACTAAGAGCTGCCCAGAGCTGGGTTGTGTTCCTGGATTTGCCCTTAAAATATCATATGATTTTGGGCAAGTAGTTAATTTCTCTTTCTCCTTTTACCCTTTTTCTGCCTTGGAATATGTATTCTGCAATATATGCCCTTTAAGATAGGCATTACATGTATTTAAATTACTTAGTACAGTGTAATAGTGGTATCTGCTGAGGCTTGTAGAACTCATTGTAATACTTATAAAATACACTTTTGAATTTTTTCATATCCTTTTCAAGAGTAAACTTTTTTTTTTCCTTAGAAGCAATAGCATACTAATAGCATGGTCTTGTTTTAGACGCAGACACAGATCAAGCAGTAGTTCTTCATATGGTTCTAGAAGAAAACGCAGTCGTAGCCGATCAAGGGGCAGAGGAAAATCCTACAGGTCTCAAAGATCAAGATCAAAGAGTAGAACAAGAAGGTAAGACTTTCTTTCTAGGGAAAGGAAATAAAATTATTAATTCTACCTCAAAAACATTTGTTTAAGAACTCCATATACCTACAGAGTTTGGAATATACTAGAATGAATGATTACAAGTGATCTGTCTAACCTATACATGTCATTTGAAACTTTTCATAATTCATGAAATCTCTATGCTATGCTTTTGATGCACTATATCTTTAAATTAAATTGGTGGAACAATTGGAATTGAACCTAAGTTATATATTTTGCATTTAGTCACATGCAAAAAATCGGTAAAGTCATCCTAGTTTGCTTTAACTGTAATCATCTGAAAATTTCTTATGGATTTTTTTTGATTATTGATTTCTGTAATATCCATGCATAATACTGGCTCACTCACTGAAGATGAGACTTAACTGTTATTTACTCATCTGTTTTTCTCTTGAAAAGAAAGAAGTGTTTATAATTACACAGATTTTAACTAATATTTAAAGATATCTCTGGTGTTGAAAACTGAGTTTTTGATCAATCAGATTGTGACAAATAATAAACAGAATTTAAATATTTAAATTCTATTCAGATTTTTCAAATTATATTAAAATCTATTTCATGCTTTTGTTAATAAAAGAACCCCAATTATTTATATGTGTTTTTTGATTTTAAAGTTCATTTAAGTTTATCTATGGATACCAGGATTACTGTTATCATTTTCTATTGAAGTCCATTATTAAGTGATAAATATCAGGCAAACTGAAGCTTTTTTGGTATCTATTTACAGATTTTCGGCTGGGTAATTTTGTATACCTGTATTAAGAATTTACTAAAATCATTTTATTTTCCTATACCAAATCAGTAAAATTATTGCCTCTAAATGTCGTTGAAAGACATGAGCATTTCACTTTTTCCTGTTCATATTCTCTTATGACTTATTCACAGCTGTTCATTATATAGTTACCTGGACACTTATCGTTACAGTGCCTTTGTAGTAGCAATTTGGTTATTCAAGCAATCTGATCTCTCTGGGAGCGTACAAACTGTCTGAGCCATAGACTCCTTGTGAGCAAGTGAGCTGTGTATAGAAATATTTCTGTAAATATCCACTGTTTTTAAATAACAAAACTGAGTTTAAAACAATGAAATGCCAAAGGAAATAAGGTGAAAAAGAGATGTTTTTTGCAGTATGTCAGGTACTGAGCGTTAGAAAATGGGATAATCTGTTTTAAAGATCTTGGTTTTATTGTGATAAATATAAATGGCAGGTCTTGTTAGGCATTTTAATATACTAGTGATCATATTTTCCGAAGTGTTTATTGTTCTTAATTGCCATTGCACTATATGGAAGTTATGCACCTAAAAAGTTAATCTGACTGCTGTTTATTTCATTTTGTGCTATGAAATATTATTTATAAAATAAACTGGCTCTTCAGTACTCTAGCTATGAAGGTATAGCTGCAGGTCACTTTAAATTGTATTACTATTCACAGGCATGATTCTGTAGGGATGCCAAATTTTTTTTTTAAATAATTTAAAAGCGTAAAACTAAAACCAACAGGTCATGTTGACTGCTTTATTGTGATTTTTCAAGCTTGCTCTCTGCTGTGATGTTGTACCATGATGAAGCCGTGGATTAATCTTATTTCTGGGGAGGAGTTAAATCAGTTGCAGAAAGCTGCTACTGGAGGCCTGCGTTTTCTGTGTTTATTAGTATTGAGGCAGTTGTAACAATGCTAAATAGTTCCTTTCTTTGCTATCTCAGTCTGTCTTGTGTGCTTGATCAGAGGTATGGGACGGCTTTCCTAAGAGGAATGTCGAGTACGTTACCCTTCAGGCAGGAAAAGAGCCCGTTGGGGAAACGGAAGGACTATGATGCAGACGTATGAAAAATGATTGGCATGAAAACATGATTAGGGAATGATCAGGGTCTTCAATATAAGACCTATGGAAGCATCAAGTGAAGTTAGCTGGTGGCAGATCCTAGTCAAATGAAAGGAGGTGGTTTCTTGCATGTCATGTAAATTAAGATTTCCTTGCTGCTGGAGGCTGTGGATACCGAAAGTTTAAATGAATTCAAATACAGTCAGGAAAGAAAAATCTACCCAAAGCTGTTAAACGTGAAGAGACCATATTTGGCTTAGGAAATGGTTTAACTGGAACTTTCTGGAAGCTGGGGGGAGTGTTTTTGCTTGTCCTGTTCTTGTCCTTTTCTGTAAGCTTATCCTGTTGAGTGCTGCCAAAGGCCAGATATTGGGCTAGATGGACCTTTGATCTGACCTAGTGCAAGTGTACTAATGCTTATGAAATCAATTAACTTAGGTATTTGTAGTGCTGAAGTCATTATGGAATTTTCATAGGAATTTGGCATCTGTAATTCATTGATTTTTTACTTGAGCTGGGTCAGCATATTTTCCTTCATACATGATTTTTAAAGGTACGTACTGGAGCAAACACGTAAGTGTCTGGTGAGTAGTTTCACCTTGAAATACTGCGAGGTAACTGTCAGACAGTTACCATAAAGCGTAGACAGTTACCAAATGGTGTGTTAGTATAGCTGGTGAGCAGCTGTCTTTAGTTCGGGAAGGGAGCTGGTGCCGTTTGGACACGGTTTCTGATGCTTGGAAATAGGATGAATGAAACTATGGTGCTGCCTGGAGGAAAACATCGCAAACATTGAGAAGTTTGGACAAAAGACTTGGAAGAGCAAAAGAAGAGAATAATGCAAATTGAAAAATGTGTAAATAGACTTACTTTTATTGTTGAAAAATGATAAGGTGAGCAGGTGCTATTCTAAAGAGAATCGAGGGAAAGTGTTCCAAAGTAAAACAGTAGTTAACGTTTGTTAAACTTCTTTTTGGAATAGCAGGAGATACAGAAAAGTTAAATTATGCTAACTTAAGCAGAACCTAAGCCGAGACACCTGACTCAAACTGAGCTATTGCTATTCTGTTACTTAAAATACTTTGTTCTCCATCTTTCTTTGGTCCTTATTTTTGAAGAAGGGAAGAGAGATTTGTGGGAGAATCACATTAAACCTTGACTCTTTGGGTGCAGTGATTATAATGGCTGGACAAAGGCTATTCCAGTAGAGCGTCTGTTTTGTCACCTGCTGTAGTATTGTTTTCCTTTAACGACGCTGGGGCCCGAAATTAAATAATTAAACTCGGGATGGAAATGTTATACCTGTTATCCCTTACTTCCCTTTTAAAAGGAGTTTCTTCTGGAGGGAGCTGTTGGTTTATAGAGCTGTTTGTTTATTTTTTGTTCACTGCTCTCCAACATGAGGATAACACAGCTTTTTGTTTTCCTCTGTGTTCTCAAGTGGACTCACTTAGCCAAGAAATGCATATAACAACTTAATTTTGTGTGGTGTGTGCAGTTTTTCCAAGTGAAACTATTGTACTTTGCTTCGGATTGTCTTTGCCTGCTCTTGTCAGTATGATTTCCCTGGCTGTTGCTGAGGTGTGATAACATTGTGAGATCCAATTAATAGGTGTCGGAGATCTTACCTGAATGTCTACAAAGGTGGTATTTTCCTTTTTAGAGAGAATTTCAGGATCTCAATACATAAATACGAAGGTGTTACAATGAGGAAGGGCTTATCTTTTAAATTCAATGAGACTTTTGTGTTTAACGTTTTTGAGAAAGTTGTTGGGAGAACCAACAATAAAGAATAGCTTTTACTACAGGGAAAATGGGCTCTAATTATTTGCTTTAATTAGTGTTTGAAAAATTATGTAAATAGGAATCAATCAAAATTCAGATGGTTTCAGAAGCTGTGGCAATATTGATGGGAGGGAGGGTTCCCCTAGGTCACGTAACAGGGAATTTGCTAAGGCTGATGGGAGGAATAGCTCCCTGTTAGGTGTTGTTGTATAGGACTCTCTTTTGTGGCCGCTTATCAGCTGTAAGGTTTGTGTTTTGTTTTTTTTTTTTTTAAATGGTGTGTTAAAGCTTTGCAGAGAGTGAATTAATTTGTTGCTGCTTTTGCTTCCTACTAGTCTTCTGTATTAAAAATGTATTTTCTCCGATTGATGGAGATTTAGTATCTCATGTGTCTTTGGAATACATATGGATCAAGTTACTAAATCTTGAAGTTCTTTTAACCTTTGCATTAACTTAATAATCTAAGTTTCTATTGATATTTCATGTAACTTTCTATTAAAATCATAATTTTATTAGCTATTAGTTTTACTTTATCAGAAGTAACTCAAGCAGCCAATTTACATTAGTGTTGTGAGGAGTGTGTTACCCGCTAAAGTATTCTTGTTGATCTCCTGCTTCTGAATTGATGGTGATGGGGAGTAAAACCTGCTGAATACCGAAAAGCCAACAATATGAGATACAGCAATAAAGTGAAGATCTTCTCTACACTACTCATATTTGTAACATTACTTCTGTATCTTCTAAGTACCACGTTTAGGACTTGAGCAACTGTGGTTTTCCAGTGGGAATGGAACTTGCACTAGACAACTATTTTCGTATCAGAAGTTAAGATGCATTATACGATATCTTTAAATCACTGCATTTGTTTTTGAAATAAGTCACGCAGATGTCAAGTTCTGTATCTCATAATGTCTTTTCTCCCTGCAATCCTCTGTCAAATTAAGATCGTTTGTCTTAGAAGGTAATGAACGTGTTGGTAAAAGTATTTGTGGCTAGAAAGTAATTTTTTAATAACTTCTCTAAAATAGGTATTTTATTTGAATGACTCATTTATACAGCTCTATGTGAAATAATTAAATATCAAATTTTAATTTGAAAATTTTGATCTCTTAATGATTTTTTTAAAAATAAAAATTTTTGAGTTGTGATTTTATTTTTGTAACCTAAATCTAATTTTTTGTACTTTATAATATGCACACATTTTATCTTCTAGTATAATTATTTTATTTTAGATACATTTTAAGAGTCAAAAAGTGAGGCTTTCTAGTAATGCTATAAATTTAAAGCTGTCCTACAGCAAGATAGTACAATGCAAATATGACTTAATAAGATCACAAACTGAATTTCAGCAAAACAAC